CCTGTTGGCATCCTCTCTCTCAAAGCCTGGGCCTCCGGGGCCCTAATCCTGCTTAAAACAGGAAATTGGAACCAGAGGGTGGAAGAAGAGGAAGCCCCCACAGATTAACCCCTCTAGTATACGGACCCACCCACCACATGTTTCTTATTAAGGAAAAGCAAGTGGGATCCTTCTCCATCCCCGAGCTTGTGCGCACCTTGTTCAGAGAGTCAAACAAGAGGCTCTCTGCTTTGGAGATACCTGGGTTGGGGGTGACAAGCATCCCCTTACATTGTTGTATGAGAAAATCAGCCCCCCTCTCCACAGGTGGAAGGAGAGAGGGGAGGCACACTTACGTTTGCTGGTTATCAGCCGTGCCTCCTGCCGCCATCTGCACTACACACTGCTAGACACTTTAGAGAGTTTTATCTGTCAGCTGTGGCTGTCCCCTGCGGCCTGTGCGACTGCCCTGATGCTAGACAAAGCTAGGGCTGAAGGGGACAACCCTGTAGACAGGGATGGGTGTGCAGATCCACTGCCTGCCCAGGATCCATTCCACTACCCTCACAAACTACCTTTCATGGCTGTAGCTGAAGCAGTGCAAGGGAGGTGACCTCTCCCAGGAGCACGTAGACAGCTACACTGCTGTGCCCACCATGAACAGGCCTGATGCCACAGCATTGCCGTTGGGGTTGCAGACCTCACAGGCTGTCTACCCTGGCCACCTCGATGCTCACTCTCCTCTCCCTTTCCCCTAAAGGGAAACAAAAACTCAGGGAACCCCAGTGTCATATGCTGTAGGACGTGGAGGAGCTGGGAGAGCCCCAGCTAAAGGACTGTGAGGGAGGCCATGCCCCATTCCTTGAGCAAGTGCCATCTGGGGGCCAGTAGGAAGGGCTGTCCCCCAGGGGATGGGTGGCAGAGCTCAGCCTCCTCAGCTCCTTCAAGACCCAGCAGAGTCCAGGACTTACACAGGGTGGGCTACATGCCCTAGGGCCCTGCCTGTAGACAGGGCAGGGATGGGGTGCAAGCCCAACGCTGCATAGACATTTAGGGGAAAGGAACTCAGGCCAGCCCCTTCTGGTGACAATCTCAGCCTGCACGTAGAGAGAAAGCAAGTCAGTCTCCTCAGGCCAAGGCCATGCCACTCTGTGGCTGCCTTTGTTCAACCTGGGTTTTTTTTTCTTTAAATGGAGATTCTTGGTAACTGAAAATGTCACTCTACCACTAAAGATGAGGAGGCCAGGGCATCAGGGGCCCCCATGGGTTATGTGGGGCAGAGCAAGAATCCTGAAAAGGAAGAGTGGATGTACTCGGTGGAGTAGAGGCCGTTGGCCTGGTCCGAGGGCATCTGTACCCAGACCTGGTCATTGGGCCGCAGCTGGAGCACAGCCCCGCCAGATGCCTGGTCCAGGTAGCCCTTCTTGTACTCATCGTAGGTGTAGGTGGCTGGCACGTTGTTCTTGTACAGGGCCACCCACACGTTGGTGCCCTTGACATGCACATGGTAAGCGAAGTAGTAGACACCGCCCACAGGGCAGGTGAAAATGCCAGTAGCTGGGTTGTAGCCGCTGTGGCCATTGTAGAGAGTCCGGTCAAATTTAACAGGCATGCCTGATGCAGGGAAAGGCGAGGTGAGCACCGCGGTGAAGGCTGGCGTGGCGTGGGCCGACAGCTCGCCCAGGCCAAACTGAGGCTTGCCGCCTTTGCCTAGCACGGCACCCTCCACGCCTCCATTGGGCAGGTGCAAGCCTGCGATGCCAGTCTCATCGAGGGCCCCAGGGGCACCAGGGGGTCCAGGAGGCCCTGGAGGCCCAGGAGGGCCTGTGAGTCCTGGGGAGCCAGGGACCCCAGGGGGCCCCGTGGGCCCAGCTGTGCCAGGTTCCCCCACTTTCCCCTCCCCAGGGGGCCCTGGCAGGCCGGGTTCACCCTTCAAGCCTGGCAGACCCTGGGGCCCAATAGGACCAGCTGGGCCCTGGAGTCCTGGGATTCCTGAGGGGCCCCTCAGGCCAGGCTGCCCAGGGAGTCCCAAGTCACCCTTCTGCCCCAGGGCCCCTGCTACCCCTGGCCCTCCAGGGCGACCTGTGGAACCTGGCTCACCTTTGGGCCCAGTTGGTCCAGGAGGTCCATGGGCCCCAGGAAGTCCCCTCTCACCTGGGAGCCCGGGTTTCCCAGCCAGTCCACCAGGCCCCTGGTCACCCCGAAGTCCAGGTATTCCTGGGGGTCCTTCAGGCCCTGCCTCCCCCTTAGGTCCAGGGAGTCCACGTCTGCCAGGGAGCCCTGCAGACCCAGGAAGTCCAGGGGGCCCACCAATGCCCTGTGGGCCCTGCTCCCCTGGTTCCCCATCCTCACCTGGCTCACCCCTATCCCCCAACAGCCCTGGGACCCCAGCTGGGCCCCTGTCCCCTTTGGGGCCTGGCAGTCCTGGCATCCCATAGCCAGTGGGACCTATCAGCCCAGGGGGGCCCCGGGCTCCAGGCTCCCCTTTGGCCCCTGCTGGGCCCTGTGGTCCTGGAACCCCTGATGCTCCTGGCACTCCCATACCATCTACCCCAGGGGGTCCTTTAGGGCCCACAGCTCCTGGCTCCCCCCTGGGGCCCAGAAGCCCAGGAGGCCCAGGCTCACCTTTGTCTCCGGGGGCCCCAGGAAGCCCATCCAAACCAGGTTTGCCTAAGCCAACTGGTCCAGGGAGGCCGGGAGGTCCCGGGGCACCCCCCTGCCCTGGTGGCCCAGGCAGTCCTGGCTGGCCCACTC